AATAGTAGCAGTAAGAACAGTAGCAGTAATAGTAGCAGTAAGAACAGTAGCACTAGACATATCAATTTTATTCTCAGAATAATCTCTGCTAACTGATAAATTATATACTTGTTTATTAACAACTTTCTGGGTTCATTTTTTCCTTTGTCTTTCAAGTTTGTTTTATATTTGTTTGTTTTGCTTTCTGTGTGAGGTAGCACTTGTGGAAGAGTATGTTCACCCTTCAATTATAACTTTAGTGTAAAGTTAGTAGCTGTTAGTGCTGCTGATGCTGCTCCTGTATTCATCTATTTGTGGTTACAGGGGTCGAGTCACTTCTCCTGTGTGTGTGTGTGTGTGTGTGTGTGTGTGTGTGTGTGTGTGTGTGTGTGTGTGTATGTTCACCTATTTGTGGCTGCAGGGGTCGATTCACAGCTCTTTTGTGTGTATGCTAACTTGTGTGTAGTTGCAGGGGTTCGAATCACAGCTCTTGTGTGTGTGTGCTCACTTGTGTGTAGTTACAGGGGGTCGATTCTTAGCTCCTGTCCCCGCCTTTTTGCTGCCTGCTACTCGGTTCACTTTTTTCTGGTTTCGAGATCCTCATCGTACCTCCACTGTACTCACCTATTTGTAGTTGCAGGGGTTGATTCTGAGCCCCTGGCCCTGCCTCTTAACTTCCCACTCTTCAGATTCATTCCCTCTTAGCCTCGTGGATCCTCTCCCACCTGCTCTTGAAACTATGTATGGAGCCTGCCTCCACCACTTCCTCACCATGATCATTCCACTTCCTGACCACACTGAGACTGAAGAAATACTTCTTAACATCAGTGTGACTCATCTGTCTGTTTAACTTCCAGGGGTGTCCCCGAGTTCCTGTTTCTCGCCTCTCCAACAGCCTATCCCTGTCTTCCTTATCAACTCCCTTGAGTATTTTGTATGTTATCATGTTTTCCCTGATTCGTTTGTTCTCCATTGTTGTTAAGTATAGTCAGGTTAGTCTCTCCTCATAACTCTTGTCTCGGAACTCAAGAACAAGCCTTGTTGCATACTACAATTTTTTTTAGTTTCTTAATATGCTCTATCAGGTGCGGGTTCCATACTGGCGCTGCAGACTCTTAAGATTAGTCTAACGTATGTTGTATAAAGGTCCTGGAATGACTGTTGAGATTCCTGAAGGCTAGAGGTTATTTGGCTGATGTGAGCCTCTGGCGTTATACTGGGCACTATGCTCAACCTTAGGTCTTTCTCCTTGAGTGAAGTCTGGAAACTCTGTTCCCCTAGTCTATATCCCGTTTTCTATGTTTTTAATCCTTCCCCAGTCCAGGTAAACTCCAGTCTTCACGACATTCCATTTCTGGGTTTGAATTCCAGCAACCACTTATCTGACAACTCTTGCAATTTGTCCAGGAAGCTTCAGAGCCTTTCCCTGTCCTCGTCTACTTTTATTCTCATCAGTTTACATCAAACAGGGATACATCAGAATCATACTCATCTGTAATGTGTATATGAGTGCGTTTGTATGTCCAGTGATTGTTTATCCGTCCAAGTATTGTCATTGCGACCTAAATTTCCCGCGACTTCAAAAGGAATGTTGTTGATATTTTCATGAAGTGGGTCGATGCATAATGTTTCTCACAGAGGTTGATGTATGTAAGACTGTCAGTCTCTGGCGAGGTAAGTTTCTCTCCACCACACGACTGCCATTCTGATTGACTCACCGACTCAGTATTTCGCTGCCTGATTGACTGTTTCTCTGGCTGCTACTACTCTTACTTCTGCCTCACACACACACGCACACACGCACACACACACACACACACACACACACACACACACACACACACACACACACACACACACACACACACACACACACACACACACACACCAACGATTCGCACTCCAAGGCTACAATCAATGGTGGTCACTACAACATGTACATTACAAGCTAAGAAGTCTCAAGACTAAAATGTTTTACCCACAGATATTTTACCCACAGATGTTTTACCCACATGTTTTAGTTATATATGCTTTTGCCACTAATATTTTTACCCCAGATATTTTAACCACACAAGCTTTAATCACATGTTTTAGCCTCATATTGTAGCTACAGATATTCAGAGCCAGAGAGATGTTTTTACTCTGATTTTTTGAGCCATTGATATTTTAGCCAAATGTTTTATCTGTACTTTACTGTTATTTTATAACCTTGTATGTGATTAACATGTCTCCTATCTTCCTGTTATCATCCAGCGTGTGTTAACATGCCTCCTGTTATCATCCAGCGTGTGTTAACATGTCTCCTGTTATCATCCAGCGTGTGTTAACATGTCTCCTGTTATCATCCAGCGTGTGTTAACATGCCTCCTGTTATCATCCAGCGTGTGTTAACATGTCTCCTGTTATCATCCAGCCCATGTTAACATGTCTTCCTGTTATCATCCAGCGCATGTTAACTTGTCTTCCTGTTATCATCCAGCGCATGTTAACATGTCTTCCTGTTAGCATCCAGCGCATGTTAACATGTCTTCCTGTTATCATCCAACGCATGTTAACATGTCTTCCTGTTAGCATCCAACGCATGTTAACATGTCTTCCTGTTATCATCCAGCGCATGTTAACATGTCTTCCTGTTAGCATCCAGCGCATGTTAACATGTCTTCCTGTTATCATCCAACGCATGTTAACATGTCTTCCTGTTATCATCCAACGCATATTAACATGTGTTCCTGTTATCATCCAGCGCATGTTAACATGTCTTCCTGTTATCATCCAGTGCATGTTAACATGTCTTCCTGTTATCATCCAACGCATGTTAACATGTCTTCCTGTTATCATCCAACGCATGTTAACATGTCTCCTGTTATCATCCAACGCATGTTAACATGTCTTCCTGTTATCATCCAGCGCATGTTAACATGTCTTCCTGTTATCATCCAGCGCATGTTAACATGTCTTCCTGTTAGCATCCAGCGCATGTTAACATGTCTTCCTGTTAGCATCCAACGCATGTTAACATGTCTTCCTGTTATCATCCAGCGCATGTTAACATGTCTTCCTGTTAGCATCCAGCGCATGTTAACATGTCTTCCTGTTAGCATCCAACGCATGTTAACATGTCTTCCTGTTATCATCCAGTGCTTGTTAACATGTCTTCCTGTTATCATCCAGTGCATGTTAACATGTCTTCCTGTTATCATCCAACGCATGTTAACATGCCTTCCTGTTATCCACGCATGTTAACATGCCTTCCTGTTATCCACGCATGTTAACATGCCTTCCTGTTATCCACGCATGTTAACATGTCTTCCTGTTATCCACGCATGTTAACATGTCTTCCTGTTAACGGTCAGGCTGGAAAGCTTCAGTCTTAATAATCTTTCGACACAACTCATATTTTTTCACCTTCGGTCATCATTTTTATTGTTTTTTATTTTAATTATGTAAATATGGCAATAATGTTGGTGGAATTACCGACAATATGTTAGGTAAAAGAACACAAGTGCAACTAATGTGACATTTTATTGTGGCAACGTTTCGCTCGATGTGTTCAGTTGACAAAAGTCAAGACTGATGGTCTGAAGACATCGACTCCAGGATGAGGGACTGATTACCTCAAACTACTCCTCATCTTCCACCCCTTTTTTTCTGCATTTGGACTGACGAAGCCACTATGTGGCGGAACGTTTCCAGGATAAATATACCCACTTGTCCGTTTTCTAAACTATTTACTGACAGATTTCACTCTTGTTAATTCCATTGCACGGCGTGTACTGTATCTACACTCAGTACCATCGTGCATCTATCATCCCATTTGGTCAATGTATCCAGGTCGTCTTGTAGTGATGTACTCTCATGTTAATTTTTTTCTAATTTATTCTCTACTATACTTCGATTTACATACATTTTGCACCCAACTCTCTGTCTGTCTCTATCTGTCTCTGTTTCTGCCTCTAACAGTTACTGTCTCTGTCTATCTGTCTCTTTTTTTACACAGGATTTTACAAGGTTAGGTTAAGGTTGCTAACTTTATTTACCTACATCGGCTCATTTGAAAGCCTCTTTCTTGTTATGAAACATACAAATAGGGAACAGGATAAAGTTGAAGCCATATGTGAGCCAGAAATTTCATTTGGTCAACTGACTTTATTTCGTTGATATTATGTTGTACAAACATGTTCCAGACTCGAGTCATCCAGGAATAAATGATCCTAGATGAATTGATGTTCTGGAGAAGGGTAGTCAAAGTGAAGTTGCTGCTTGCTGCCCGTCTTGTTGTCTGGAAGCTCACTTCTCGGTGTCCTCGGAGTGGAGCCAAATGTGGTACTTTGACAGTGTTGGCCCTGTACATAACAGTAAGGCCGCCCATATCCCTCCTGTGTTAAAGGCTCTGCTGAAATGACATCTAACCAGACTGGGTGCAGGCGAAAAGTGAGTCGTCTTGCTCTGTTCCTTATTCTGTCAAGGAGTCGCGGATGAGATGGAGGGTGGTAGGTAATCCAAGAAAGTGGATCATACCGAAGGTGTGAGCATACTTGTGCCTGGTACAGAATCTTGCAACCTCTACTGTCGAGCAGATGCGAGATACGTAAAAGTGCTGTAAGCTTCCTGGCCGCCTTGCTTGCAAGATTTATAACGTGTTTCTTCATGGTCAGTTTGGAGTCAAATTTCACCTTAAGGTTAATAACTTCGTCCTCAGGTACCAACACTCATCCATTCATTCTTACACAGCTCTCTGTCTTAACACTCCCTGTGTGTCTCTCTGACTCCATCTTCACATACTCCTCTCTTCCATAAACAATAATCGCGTGTTGCATGACCAGCCAGAACTTTCTGCCAAGGCCTGGCGTCGTGTGAATAACTTGTGACATGTTTGAAATATAGTTGTAGGTGATGGGTGGAGCGAGTGTGTGAGGGAGCTCAGTGTGGCGTGAACCACCGCGCCCTCAACACTGTGCAGGGGGTTGCTGCTACTCCTCCCACCACCATATGCAACTGAAGGTGCAGCACTTACCTTTCATTGCAATAAAGTCACGTTCAACTGACAGGAGAATGCATTTAAAGAACGTAATGACTCCTCGGGTGATTAAATACAGTGTTTCAAGCTAGTGATGACGCTAAATCGTATACATTAGTGTTGATATCGTAGTGACATCCTACGCAAGGATTCTGTACTTTTGACTTGAAAAAATATAATACCTAAAGGATATTGGCAACCAGAAAAAAATGGATATTGTTTTTTGATATCTTAAAGTAGGAATATCAAATTGGGCATCGCTTAGGGCATGTGGACCGAAGGAACCTAGAAACCCAGTTACTGACGAAGATATTGAAGGATGTATGAAGCTGCCTTGTGTTGTCCAGTGGATGGTCCATGTTGAGTGTTGCTTACTGAAGGTTGGTCCATGTTGAGTTGCTTACTGAAGGTTGGTCCATGTTGAGTGTTGCTTACTGAAGGTTGGTCCATGTTGAGTGTTGCTTACTGAAGGTTGGTCCATGTTGAGTGTTGCTTACTGAAGGTTGGTCCATGTTGAGTGTTGCTTACTGAAGGTTGGTCCATGTTGAGTGTTACTTACTGAAGGTTGGTCCATGTTGAGTGTTGCTTACTGAAGGCTGGTCCATGTTGAGTGTTGCTTACTGAAAGTTGGTCCATGTTGAGTGTTACTTACTGAAGGTTGGTCCATGTTGAGTGTTGCTTACTGAAGGTTGGTCCATGTTGAGTGTTGCTTACTGAAGGTTGGTCCATGTTGAGTGTTGCTTACTGAAGGTTGGTCCATGTTGAGTGTTGCTTACTGAAGGTTGGTCTATGTTGAGTGTTACTTACTGAAGGTTGGTCCATGTTGAGTGTTACTTACTGAAGGTTGGTCCATGTTGAGTGTTGCTTACTGAAGGTTGGTCCATGTTGAGTGTTGCTTACTGAAGGTTGGTCCATGTTGAGTGTTACTTACTGAAGGTTGGTCCATGTTGAGTGTTGCTTACTGAAGGTGGTCCATGTTGAGATGTTGCTTACTGAAAGTTGGTCCATGTTGAGTGTTACTTACTGAAGGTTGGTCCATGTTGAGTGTTGCTTACTGAAGGTTGGTCCATGTTGAGTGTTGCTTACTGAAGGTTGGTCCATGTTGAGTGTTGCTTACTGAAAGTTGGTCCATGTTGAGTGTTACTTACTGAAGGTTGGTCCATGTTGAGTGTTGCTTACTGAAGGTTGGTCCATGTTGAGTGTTGCTTACTGAAGGTTGGTCCATGTTGAGTGTTGCTTACTGAAGGTTGGTCCATGTTGAGTGTTGCTTACTGAAGGTTGGTCCATGTTGAGTGTTGCTTACTGAAGGTTGGTCCATGTTGAGTGTTGCTTACTGAAGGTTGGTCCATGTTGAGTGTTACTTACTGAAGGTTGGTCCATGTTGAGTGTTGCTTACTGAAGGCTGGTCCATGTTGAGTGTTGCTTACTGAAAGTTGGTCCATGTTGAGTGTTACTTACTGAAGGTTGGTCCATGTTGAGTGTTGCTTACTGAAGGTTGGTCCATGTTGAGTGTTGCTTACTGAAGGTTGGTCCATGTTGAGTGTTGCTTACTGAAGGTTGGTCCATGTTGAGTGTTACTGAAGGTTGGTCCATGTTGAGTGTTGCTTACTGAAGGTTGGTCCATGTTGAGTGTTACTGAAGGTTGGTCCATGTTGAGTGTTGCTTACTGAAGGTTGGTCCATGTTGAGTGTTACTTACTGAAGGTTGGTCCATGTTGAGTGTTACTTACAGAAGGTTGGTCCATGTTGAGTGTTGCTTACTGAAGGTTGGTCCATGTTGAGTGTTGCTTACTGAAGGTTGGCCCATGTTGAGTGTTGCTTACTGAAGGTTGGTCCATGTTGAGTGTTGCTTACTGAAAGTTGGTCCATGTTGAGTGTTACTGAAGGTTGGTCCATGTTGAGTGTTACTTACTGAAGGTTGGTCCATGTTGAATGTTGCTTACTGAAGGTTGGTCCATGTTGAGTGTTGCTTACTGAAGGTTGGTCCATGTTGAGTGTTGCTTACTGAAGGTTGGTCCATGTTGAGTGTTGCTTACTGAAGGTTGGTCCATGTTGAGTGTTGGTTACTGAAGGTTGGTCCATGTTGAGTGTTACTTACTGAAGGTTGGTCCATGTTGAGTGTTGCTTACTAAAGGTTGGTCCATGTTGAGTGTTGCTTACTAAAGGTTGGTCCATGTTGAGTGTTACTTACTGAAGGTTGGTCCATGTTGAGTGTTACTGAAGGTTGGTCCATGTTGAGTGTTGCTTACTGAAGGTTGGTCCATGTTGAGTGTTACTTACTGAAGGTTGGTCCATATTGAGTGTTGCTTACTGAAGGTTGGTCCATGTTGAGTGTTGCTTACTGAAGGTTGGTCCATGTTGAGTGTTGCTTACTAAAGGTTGGTCCATGTTGAGTGTTGCTTACTGAAGGTTGGTCCATGTTGAGTGTTGCTTACTGAAAGTTGGTCCATGTTGAGTGTTGCTTACTGAAGTTGGTCCATGTTGAGTGTTGCATACTAAGGGCTGGTCCATGTGCCTTAACGTTGGAGATCTCTTGATCCAGGACTTGGAGCTATCCTCCCAAGGTGTTGCATGATCCTTACTCATTTAGCGCTTCTCCCCAAATTTAATAATAATAATAATAATCTGACTTGCTGAATTGACACCACAGGTGATATCTCCTTGGCTTTGGATTATTATTGTTATTGTTATTATTATTATTATTATTATTATTATTATTATAATTATTACTATTAATAGTAGTAGTAATAGTAGTATAATTAGTATTATATTCCCTTGGAAGCTAATGGGGGAATATGAATCAATGAGGTTTGATGTGAGGAAGTGGAAGCAAGCTGCCATGAGGAACAGCAGGGAAGCAGACCCTCCAGGTTGCCTCTGAGTTCTTCTTGAAGGGCTCTTGATCCGTGGAAGTGGAGCTACTCTCCTTTCAGAGTAGCTCCACATCCTTGGATCAAGAGCCATTCGCCAACATCAGGGTTTCCTTGAAGGGATTCTTCGGTAAATATTTTGCTTCAGTTTTCCCTGGAAATGTTGTGTGAGAATGTTGGTCCAGGTTGGTAGAATGTTGTGTGTGAATGTTGATCCAGGTTGGTAGAATGTTGTGTGTGAATGTTGGTCCAGGTTGGTAGAATGTTGTGTGTGAATGTTGGTCCAGGTTGAGAGAATGTTGTGTGTGAATGTTTGTCCAGGTTGGTAGAATGTTGTGTGTGAATGTTGGTCCAGGTTGGTAGAATGTTGTGTGTGAATGTTTGTCCAGGTTGAGAGAATGTTGTGTGTGAATGTTTGTCCAGGTTGGTAGAATGTTGTGTGAGAATGTTTGTCCAGGTTGGTAGAATGTTGTGTGTGAATGTTGGTCCAGGTTGGTAGAATGTTGTGTGAGAATGTTGGTCCAGGTTGGTAGAATGTTGTGTGAGAATGTTGGTCCAGGTTGGTAGAATGTTGTGTGTGAATGTTTCTCCAGGTTGAGAGAATGTTGTGTGTGAATGTTTGTCCAGGTTGGTAGAATGTTGTGTGTGAATGTTGGTCCAGGTTGGTAGAATGTTGTGTGTGAATGTTTGTCCAGGTTGGTAGAATGTTGTGTGAGATGTTTGTCCAGGTTGGTAGAATGTTGTGTGTGAATGTTGGTCCAGGTTGGTAGAATGTTGTGTGTGAATGTTTGTCCAGGTTGAGAGAATGTTGTGTGTGAATGTTTGTCCAGGTTGGTAGAATGTTGTGTGAGAATGTTTGTCCAGGTTGGTAGAATGTTGTGTGTGAATGTTTGTCCAGGTTGGTAGAATGTTGTGTGAGAATGTTTGTCCAGGTTGGTAGAATGTTGTGTGTGAATGTTTGTCCAGGTTGGTAGAATGTTGTGTGTGAATGTTGTCCAGGTTGGTAGAATGTTGTGTGTGAATGTTGGTCTAGGTTGGTAGAATGTTGTGTGAGAATGTTTTCCAGGTTGGTAGAATGTTGTGTGTGAATGTTGGTCCAGGTTGGTAGAATGTTGTGTGAGAATGTTTGTCCAGGTTGGTAGAATGTTGTGTGTGAATGTTGGTCCAGGTTGGTAGAATGTTGTGTGAGAATGTTGGTCCAGGTTGGTAGAATGTTGTGTGAGAATGTTGGTCCAGGTTGGTAGAATGTTGTGTGAGAATGTTGGTCCAGGTTGGTAGAATGTTGTGTGAGAATGTTGGTCCAGGTTGGTAGAATGTTGTGTGAGAATGTTGGTCCAGGTTGGTAGAATGTTGTGTGTGAATGTTGGTCCAGGTTGGTAGAATGTTGTGTGTGAATGTTTGTCCAGGTTGGTAGAATGTCGTGTGTGAATGTTGGTCCAGGTTGAGAGAATGTTGTGTGTGAATGTTTGTCCAGGTTGGTAGAATGTCGTGTGAGAATGTTTGTCCAGGTTGGTAGAATGTTGTGTGAGAATGTTTGTCCAGGTTGGTAGAATGTTGTGTGAGAATGTTTGTCCAGGTTGAGAGAATGTTGTGTGTGAATGTTTGTCCAGGTTGGTAGAATGTCGTGTGAGAATGTTTGTCCAGGTTGGTAGAATGTTGTGTGAGAATGTTTGTCCAGGTTGAGAGAATGTTGTGTGTGAATGTTGGTCCAGGTTGAGAGAATGTTGTGTGAGAATGTTTGTCCAGGTTGGTAGAATGTTGTGTGAGAATGTTTGTCCAGGTTGGTAGAATGTTGTGTGAGAATGTTTGTCCAGGTTGAGAGAATGTTGTGTGTGAATGTTGGTCCAGGTTGAGAGAATGTTGTGTGAGAATGTTTGTCCAGGTTGAGAGAATGTTGTGTGTGAATGTTGATCCAGGTTGAATGTTATGTGTGAATGTTGGTCCAGGTTGAGAGAATGTTGTGTGTGAATGTTGGTCCAGGTTAAGAGAATGTTATGTGTGAATGTTGGTCCAGGTTGAGAGAATGTTGTGTGAGAATGTTTGTCCAGGTTGAGAGAATGTTATGTGTGAATGTTGATCCATGTTGAATGTTATATGTGAATGTTAACCCAGGTTGAGAGAATGTTATGTGTAAATGTTGGTCCAGGTTGAATGTTATGTGTGTGTTGATCCAGGTTGAATGTTATGTGTGAATGTTGATCCAGGTTGAATGTTATGTGTGAATGTTGATCCAGGTTGATAGAATGTTATGTGTGAATGTTGGTCCAGGTTGAGAGAATGTTATGTGTAAATGTTGGTCCAGGTTGAATGTTATGTGTGTGTTGATCCAGGTTGAATGTTATGTGTGAAATGTTGATCCAGGTTGAATGTTTGTGTGAATGTTGATCCAGGTTGATAGAATGTTATGTGTGAATGTTGGTCCAGGTTGAGAGAATGTTGTGTGGAATGTTGGTCCAGGCTGAGAGAAAGTTATGTGGAATGTTGGTCCAGGTTGAGAGAATGTTGTGTGTG